CCATATTTTTAGGTTCAGGCTAGTTACAGTATAAATAGTCAAGAATTTATACTATATAGCATAGGGATCGTAACTAGTAATAAGATTTTGTAAATACGAAAGCTGCTGAGAATATATGGCAGATGGGCTTATTGTGATTAATAGATGTTAATAGTTTGCCCTTTTGTCGATCATTTTCTTCATCCCACCCACTTTTTAAAGATAGTTACATCTAAAGCTAAGATCACCACCCTTGCTTTTCCTCCTCCTCCTGGAGTTACTACTTTCCTCAACTTAATATTTGTCATACCAAGCATGTTGCTGTTTCTGGTGTATGTCAGGCTCTGCAGGTATTCAGCATCTGAGGTCCTACCCAATTGTTCTGGAATGCAGCTACCAGCGTGCACTCTATTTTTACAACAAAACTCCCAATACTTAGTATTATCAGTCTATTTAATTTTACCCGATGTAAAGCTTTCACCAACAGACAGGTCACTCGGACAGAAAATAAATGAGGACACAACAACCTTAAACCAAGAATCAGAACACATGGGCTTGAAGAGACATTTATAAGATACTGCCAGCCATAAGCGCTGAACACACATTCTTCTCAAGTGAGTGCACATGGGACAGTCTCCAGGGTTGACCATGTATTTGGGTCTCAAAGCAAGTATTGACAAATTAATGAGGAAATTTAAAAAATATCTCAAGACAAATGGCAATGAGGACACAACCTTTCAGAACTTATGGGACAGAGGTCATGTCAAGAAATAAGAAAGAGCACAAATAATCTTACTCTTACCTTAAGGAGTTAGGAAAAGAAGAAGCAGCAAAACCAAAAGCTGGTAGAAGGAAGGAAATAGCCAAAATTAGAGCAGAAGTAAAGGAAACAAATCAGGCGGTCCAGAGATTAATGAAACCAGTGGCTGGGTCTCTAAAAGACAATCGGCGAAACAGACAAAATAGAGATATCTTTATAAAAAAGACTAGAAGAGTCAAAAGTAGTTAGATCTCAGCACTATGAAGCTATTGGCAGCCCCTGCAGCACAAGTTCGATCCCCGCCAGGGAGTGACCCACAGGGCACAGCAGACCTCTCCTGTCTGCCCACTGCTCCCTCAGCAGTGGGCTTCATTGGATCTGCCTGTGCTGCTCCCCACTCTGTTTCTGGGGAGTCCTCTCACCCCCAGCACCTCTGGTCTTTATCCCAGTTCTTGTGTGCATAAGTAAGTAAATCTTTTTTACAAAAATCCTCAATGAGGGGAGCTCATTGCATTGACTTTGCTTACTAGTATATGTTTGAAATTTTCTATACAACTTACGTGATGAAAGCAAACAGAATTGGTGAGAAGCTTATACTAAGTAAAACTGATAAGTTTCATACAAAAGCTGTGCACGGTGCATCTCTGTGTTAGATATGTAAGTTCCAAAACCACAGTCCACTCATTCAGTGGGAAAAGATCAACAGGCGCGCAAGCACCGGTAGTGGGTAGTCACACAAAAAAGCCTGCAGCTTTGTGAGCAAGTGGAAATGCAGTTAGCATGGCACCATCGCTGTGTGCTTGCTAAGCGAGAAACAACTGCAAAGGCTCCTGCCGGCTGGAATGCTGACTTCTAACTTGCTAGTGAGTGTATCTTGCTGGCAAATCAGCAACGCCTGTAAAATCGGTCAGTTTTACCTGGTCCAGAGGGAGCCACAGTGAGTACGGTGCAGGCATACACTGTAGAAGACTTGCCCTTTAAAATGCTCCAAATCACCCCCAGTCTAGGTGGCCTGTCGCCCTCGGCTGCCCTGTGCCCTAGCAGGTAGCCACGCGCACGCGTCTTGTCAGGTGCTGGGTCTGTCCGTCAGTCCTCACAGTTTTAGGAGGGCGGCAGCGTTTACTCCATCTCACAGACAAGGGCGCGGAGTCTGCTAAGGGAGGGCGCTCCCCACAATCACACGCTGAGAACACACGTGACCAGGACGTAAGTGCAGGCAGCCTCACATCAGCCCCCTGTGTCAGTCACCAAACTGCCTCTCCCAGTTAAAGCCATGTAGGGGAGCCTCCTTTCAGGGTCAGTCAGTGGTTCCACGGAAGCCCCTGCTAATATTACAGCTACATTGGGTGGTAGGTTCTAGGTGGTTTTGACCCTGCTGCCGCTGAGAATAAGTGTGAAACAGACTGCCGATTATCACTGAGGACCCGTAAATAGGCTCAGCCTGCCTGGGAGAGCATTTGGCAGCGTGTTTCAAGAACCATAAAGTGCTCGTGTTTTTCGACCTAGTTAATGCTACTTCTGGGAATCCGCTAAAGACAGGCCTGTCTGGAAAAAGCCTTGATCCCCCACTGCCATGTTTGTGGTAGAACGACTGGAAGTGCCCCATGGTGGTCCCAGTCCCACGCTCAGACAGTGACAAAACAAACCGAGAAGGGCACCAGGAGAAGTGATGCAGTGTGGAGGGGAGGTGGGGAGCAGAGACGTGGGGGCGGGGAGCAGGGAGCAGTCCTCCTGAGTCTGGAGAAGCATCAAGAGCAGTGTGTGCGCTGTGCTACGGCTTGTGCAAATGTGAAGAAGGGAACATCATAAAGAGCGCGCTCTTTCAAACTTTTGTGATACGGATTACTTCTCATTTTAAAGTTAAACCGTGTGGCTCAGCCCTCCCTGGTGGAGTGGTGGGTTGGAGCCTTGCACTGCGAAGCTAAGCTGGGTATGGCAGCCTGTGTGCCACCACCCAAGCTGACCCCCAGGGCGCGGCAGACCTCTCCTGTCTCCCCGCTGCTCCCCTCAGCAGTGTACTTCATCCATTTGCCTGTTCTGCTCCCCACTCTGTCATTGGTGAATTCTCTCACCGCCCCTGCACCTCTGGCCTGTACCCCGGTTCTGTGTGCATAAATAAATAAATAAATCTTAACAACAACAACAAAAAACGTCGTGTCAGGGACCTGCCCCAATCTCTGACTGTTGAAAGGCAGACACAGGCAGGAGCCTAAGGTGGGAAGGACGTCGACGAGCAGATATTCCAAAAATTGTGGGGTAAAGGGAGGTGGGCATGAAGAAGACACAGGAGTCAGAATTGGGTGCCAGTCTTCTTGCTCTGCCTTCAGCAGAGGTTTACTGTGTGCATGTCACGCAGGCAGTGGGGTGACATTAGCATATGAAATGGGCTGAGATCACAATCACCTTTTTGCTAAGAATAGTCTGGGGTCGTTTTGACCTTTAGTTGAGATTATAACATTTTTAAAATCAATGTATCAAGGTTAAATCAGGCACATAGATTCACAGAATTTAAGACTAATATTACCATATTTACCAGAGTGAAGATTCACCAAAATAAAGTCCCTTAAACCTTATCTACTACATGATGGGTTTCATTCTTATTGAGATATCCTAGGGGTAAAGTGAGGACAAGAAATTTCTTGTAAATCAAATTACAGTAAAGTTCTTTGAAAACTAGTTAGAAATTTTAAGTGAATTCCTTTGAAGTCTACAGTAGAAAACCTGATTAGCTCTGAATAGGTGACTTGGGTGAATTTCTATATCTAAGGACTAGATGGTAGAAAGTTTGAGTGGTTCTTTAGAAACTGAATAGAAGGCTTTGTGGGATGGTAGAGTGATGAGATTTGGGTTTTCCTCCATCTGGGCAGTAAAAGAGTGTGTTCCCGTACTGCCTCAATATTGACTTTGCTATAACAGCCAGTTGCTTTTATTAATCAGCCAGTTGTAAAATCACTTTTGACTTCAGAGGAATTCCTCGCCCTGGTGCAGTGCTTGCTTGTCTGGGCCAGGCAACGCCTTCTGAGGCTGAGGCAATCCAGTTGCAAACTGAAGGCTGCTCAGAATATTTTGGTATTATGATTATACAAAAAAAGGGAGGTCATAGCATAAGTTAGCGTGAAATTCTGATGTTTCAGAGCACTTCCGTCTCTCTCCCGAAGTGTCAGTCGATAGAGTTTGCACAGCTTGTGTCAGCGTGGATCCTTGGTTTCCTGCAGTCATCTCAAAGTTGCTTTAGCAGCAGAAAGTGCAGTTTACCAGCCGGGCCCACCTCCCACCCCCACTGTTCCTTAGAAAGTGCCCTCGCCTGCCTTGCCCTGGAGGGGAGCAAGTGGGGGTCTGGCAGCCCATGCCGAGATCTTCTGGGCCACAGCCTTTCCTGCTGGCCTGCTGTCCTAGAACTTGTTCTCCGTCACTGGGTCTTGCAGATGAAGATAAAAATGATGCTGCCTACAGTTGGCTGGCTCCATTTGTAGTTTTGTTTTCATCAGATTTCCCCCCTGATTATAAAAACGGAATAAATGCTCATTGTTGAACGTTTGAAAAATACAGAAAGCTGGAAGAAGAAAATTAGACCACAATCACTCCATCCCAAAATAACCATTATATATTTCATATTTTTTTCTTGTGTTTGGTTGTTTTAACTGATATTCTTTCTTTTTGGTAGCGGGAAGAGCTTATTTGGGCATTTGTTAATATTTGGGGCTAGTTTAACATCATGCTTTGTGTTCATTTTGAGATGGTTTATCTTTAACAAGTAATTCTTAGCTTGGGGTTAAACCCACCTAGTGATAGGCAACCATATGGGGGCTGGGAGAGGGAATATCTCTGCCTATCAAAAGTAGCTTAGGTGAAGTCTGATTGCCCAATCCATGCTTCCTGAACTTTTTTTTAGGTCAGTTGCAGTTGTAATAGTTTATGTTTTTCTCATTATAAATAACCTTGTACCTTTTCAGACCTTGAGTTATGAGTAGGAGAATACAGTTATCATACATAAACTTGGAATAAAGAAGCAGCTTGGAAAATACCCATCCTTTTTTGACTTTTGATTTCCACATTTTTTAGAAAATGCAGTTAAAAAAAAACAAACAGCAGGGCGCTCCCTGGTGGCACAGCGGGTTACAGCACAGCACTAAGAAGCTAAAGCCACTTCTGCATGAGTTCGATCCCCGCCTGCCCCGGAGGTGACCACATGGCGTGGCAGACCTCTCCTGACCCACCCGCTGCTCCCCTCAGCAGTGGACTTCGTTGATCTGCCTGTTCTGCTCCCCCCTCTGTCTCTGGTAAATCCTCTCACCACCCCTGCACCTCTGGCCTGTACCCCAGCTCTGTATACATAAATAAATAAATCTTTAAAAAAAAAAAAAAAAACAGCAAAGGAACCGCCAGCCCAGCGAATATGTGGGGGGACTTGGTGAGCAGCTGTGGCCTGTGGGCCCATGGGAGACTTTGCCAGCGGCCATGGCCCGTGGGGCCTATGGGAGACTTAGTGAGTGGCTATTGCCCGTGGGGCCTATGGGAGACTTGGCGAGCGGCCGTGTCCCGTAGGGCCCAGCATGGGTGGTATAGGGACTGGGACGTGTCAGAAATGAAAAGCATCGGCCAGTGAGAGTTGGAGCCCTCGACTTCTGGGCTTTGCTGCTCAGGAGAGGCATCTGGAATAGCCTCACAAGTGGGGTGTGGGTCTCCTTCTCTGCCTTCTAGTCCCGTTGAACTAGGGCAGCGGTGGGCTCAGCGAGGCACACCTGTCTCGCACCTCCTCTGTGCATCCGCCATGGTGGCTCATGAGGTCTGCTGCCGCAGGCCGGAGACTCCCGGATTGCTGGGAGCTGGGGCCCCTCAGGCCTGCCAGTACCTCCCGGTCAGGGGCCACCTTTCTTGGGTGGTGTTTCTTGACAAGACTGAACTGTAACTTTTACCGGTGCTTGTTGTTAGCCCCTCCAGCCCGCTTCCTCTTTCGGGAAAGTCACTTATCTTCAGGTGAAAGCCAAACCTGTGGCCAAGTTTGAGGATCCAGCTTAGGAATTTGAGGGGGTGGCTTTAGGGCAGCGTTAGGTGTGACCGGGTAGTGTCATGTGAGAACAGGTCAGCAACTGGAACCTGAAGTGCCCCCCAAAACTGTGCCTGCCTGAGAATCAACGAGGCAGCCTCCTGGAAAGTGGGGAGATCTGAGATTTTGAGTTGTTTGAATTGCTAGGGGAGAGGGTACCCAGAGCTATAAAGGGAGGAAGCCACATGGGCTGTCAGCTGACCTCACGTGATGTTCCTAGTCAAGAAGGTGACCGGTTTTAACTTCATGCTGTGCTCTCCCTTTTACTCTTCTTAGTTATTGATGCGAGGCATTTCATTTTTTCCAGTATTGCCTGTCAGGGCACCCGACCTTACCATGCAACGTGCTCAAATTCAAGTCCACCACCATCATGTTGGACTGCGGGCTGGATATGACTTCCACCCTCAATTTCCTTCCTCTTCCCCTTGTTCAAAGGTACGTACTGATGCACCTGAGGCAGAGTGAGCTCCAGTCTGCTGGAAAATAATACCAGTCCGTGGAAAGATTTCCATTGCCTTTGTTACCTACGTCCATGAAGTCCTAAGTTTACTTTGTTCCCTTGAAATAATTTCCCATCAAAATAATTTCTTTTGGCCAAGTGGATGGAAAGTCTTGTATTGATTTATTGATTGACTGCTTTATTATAACTTCTCTGAGCTCCTATAAAATATTCCTGCTCAGTGCAAGCTGACTGCTCAGTGCAAGCAAGGTCATGTATATTTCATCTTTCTTGCAAATTCATACAAGCACTGATAAATGGTCAGCGGATGAGCCCAAGAAATGAATGTTAGAAACATTTAACTGCCTTGCAGGGAGTTGACATCAGACTGTGGCACCCCTTCGGATGGGTCTTTGTGCAGTACTTTCCTCCCGTTCAGCTGGAATGATCATGTATGTGGCAGACAGAGTCCCCAGGGCTGCGAGTAACACTGTATACTTAAGACCTAGTCTGGGAAATTGGTTTCCCAGCTTGCTGTTACTTAGCAGCAGAGAAGTGTAGGAGAGCTAGGTACCTGTTAGTCACAGATAGACTTCCAGTAGCAAGAAGTGATGCCAACATGCAAGAAGAAAGACAGAGAGTTATCTAAAGTAGATTAATGCGCTCAAAAGCACAGCTGACAGAGAAACCATTTAATGTATCAGTTACCCTCGAAGACGTCAGTGTGCATTGCTGATTCATGATAACCCCATGAACCTTCTAGAAGAAAGATAATTAAAAATTAACCATTGAATTTTTTCCCAAAGATAAGAGATTATAGTAAGGTGGTAGGGACAAGGTCAGAGATAATTCCAGATTACATTTCATGCAAAATCAGTTCAGTTATACTCATACCTAGAACTTAGAAATTCCATTAACATTGGCATATTTTATAGGTGAAATCCAGAAGAGGGAAACACACATAGTTTTTGTAAATTTGCAGTGACTTAAGGAACTGTAGGTATCCCATGTATTTCTTGACAAAAATAACTGACATGTTGTTCGTTAAGATATTCTGTTACTGTTGTCATATTAAAGATGAAAATGCTGTGCGTTTGATTCCTGTGGTGCTTATCAGGAACCGGCACTGTGCTGGGCACAGACAGACAGCTGTCCCAGCCTGGGCTCAATAGAATATTGCAGGAGCGAGAACGGTGCCATTGAAGCATTACTTATATTGTGTGAAGAAAATAACTGCACACTTGTGGTCATTGCTAAAAATGTGATATACAAGGTCCTGTGTGGGTTCTGAAAGGGGCCTGCACGCTCGGGGCCGTGGAGGTCATTACCCGCGGCAGACAGCCAAGCCCCGTGTTCTCGTCTCTACCGCTGCTGCTCTCACCAACCTCTCCTCTTGGGGTGACTGCAGCCCCGTATCGTTCTCGATGAAAAGGACCTGTGGCTTGGAGACACCCTCGTCCCCTTGTCCTGCTTTATTTTTCTTTGTAGCACTGACCAGCTGGATCCTGATTGGCTGATGTATTGTCTCTCCCCCCCTCCCCCCTTGCCACCAGAGTCTTCGGGAGGGCAGGGCTTGTGTGTTCTCCACCTAGGTGCCCGGAGCAGCTCCTGGGTGCAGGAGCTGCTCAGGAAATGTCCTTCCTCTGAAGGAACCCCTCTGCCAGCCAGGACTCCAGCAGCTCGCCTGCTCGGGCATTTCCGAAAGACTGTCATCTGGTCTTCAGCGTGAACCTTGCGTCTGACTCAGCCCTTCCCATTTAATTGTGCTTAGTCACTGACTTGAACTTCAGCTTGTTAACCCTCGCTCTGCTCCACGCTGCCCAGAGCATTTCTGACTCCCCTGCAGCCCAGTGCCCAGGAAGGAAAGCCACAGGACGCCACAGAGGCCTTCCGCTCGTGAGCCAGCGCACGAGGCCTGACCCTGCTCGCTTTCCCCGGCTCCTCCCTTCCCTGATCCAGCTCCCGCCACTGCTGTCACCCGCCAGAATTCATTATCTGGTGCTTGGCCTTCATCATCTCCACCAAGGAAATTTTTGTGTGCAGCGGCTTTGATAGCCTTCCCAACAATTAACATAGCAAAGTGACCTTTAGTTAATTCTCTTCGGAGTCCAGGCTCCTATTTCCAGAATACCCACTCAGAGCCTCTCCTTGGGAGTGCCCTCATGGCACTCCAAAACTCAGCGCACCCCATCTGGGTCATGATGGGCCTTGGTCCCAGCAGCCCTTTCCTGGGGAGTGACTCCTCTGTAAGAAACAGAAAACTGGGAGCTGGCTCAGGCAACCACTTCCGCCCCCCGCACCTCGTCTCTCAGCAGGTCTCTCCCTCTCGCCCTCTCAGCAACGCAGCGGCTGCTTCCCTTCAGTGCCTGTGCCTCGCCGTGTCTTTAGGTGCCACTGCCAAAACTCTGGCCACGTTCATCCATGCTGATTTGCTTCTTTCTGAATCTAGGCCTGTTTTTCTGTCACTCCTTCTTCTGAAATCACTTCGGGTTTACAGAAAAGTTGCAAGAATAGTACAAACAACTCCCCGTGATGCTTAACCAATTGTTTGCACTTTATTGCATTGGCTGGATTGTTTTCTCTTGATACATACAGCCTTTCCTGACCCACTGGAAAGCTGGTGCTCCTTCACCACCTCAGTACTCAGATGCCCGTTTTCTAAGAACAAGGCCGTGCTCTACCACAGCCTGGTCAGATGACCGCAGCCCAGAAGCGTGCCCTGCACCTGTCCCAGGCCAGCGACGCTTGTCTCGTTGTGATGCCCTTTGGGGGGAAAAGAAAAACAGCAGGTCCCACATTGCTCTCAGTCGCCCTGTCTTCTGTCCCCTTTTATCTGGGAGTGTTTCCAGTGTGTCACTCTAGGTGACCTTGACATTCTTCCATTTGGGTTCATCTGATGTTTGGCGCGATTAGTTGGGGCTGTGGTTTGCAGCGGGATGCCAGGCAAAGACAGTGCAGATGGGGAGAACTGACCTGCCCGCTTTCTCCAGAACCACCCTGTGGAGCTCCGGACCTAACCTTGCCCCACTCATCAGGAACTTTCCTCGGTTTTCTTTTATTCTTAGGGCAGACACCCACTTCTCCTGCTGTGTTAGACCTGTGCCTGGCCCGCCGGGTCCTGCTCTTTGCTTCAGTTTTGAGGAAATCTTCCATCCGGCCTCACAGAACAACTATACAGTTTGTTCCTTGGCCCCAAGCCGCGTCTCCCCTCCCGCACCCCACTTGCCCATCGCTTGCTTGGCAGGAGTTTGCTCTCAGCGCTCTCGTGGCCAGGTGTCCGAATGGGAAGACTGGGGTGGCGCTCTGTTGGGGGTGGGAGGTGGGCGTGGCTGGGCCTTCTCATCCCACCTGAGAAGCGCGTCCTGGGAGCTGGTCGGCTCTCACTGGCGAGGATGCCGGTACTGCTTCCTCTGTCCCTCCGAACCCTGCCCCCTGACCCAGCGCTCGCCCACATGCCCCTGTTTCTACCACTGGGCAGAGCTCAGCTCTGAATGCCCTGCGCCAGCCCAGGAAGCCTCGGCTGCTGCCCAAACCACGCCCTCGCTGGGCACCTGGCCGCGCTGTGCCCTTCCCCGTGGTGGCAGCCCGTGCTCAGGGCCGCTTGAGCCCCACCCTCCCTGTCTCCTCAGGGAGCCTGTGTATTTGGCTCACAGTCACCTCACCCATGCCTGACATGTAAGGAAAGGCGTGAAGAAGAGCACCTGGCACAGAACTGTACCCAAGAAGCGGGCCGTCCCTGGTCCCTGTTCTGGGAAAGCCCCTCCCCCCACCTCCTCTTCCCTGTTGCCCCACGCCTGTCAGAGGTGCCTTTCTGTGTGAGCCACCCTGTGGTTCTCTTGTCAGTCCGTCCAGGCGCTCTGTGGGCTCCCTGCCCTGTGCGGGGTGGCCCCGCAGCCCTGCACTGGGACCTCTGCTCAGTGGCTTCTCACTGTGAATGGACGAATGTCGTTGGTCCTCTTTCTCCTGATTATAAAAGTAATACATTTCAAAGTAGGAAACTGGGAAAGTGAAATGAATAAAGTAAATAAGCCATACATCATGTTCCTTCTGTGTCCCATGATTCTTCTAGGTGAAAGTTTACTTTCCATGCTGTGGGTTATTGATTTGCTTCGGGAATGATTTACCTGCCTTGAGAAAAGCAGGTCCTCTGTGTGTATCTGTTGGCATTTTTAATGGCACCTCTCTTCCTGACTACTGAGAAACAGGACACACAGACGTGCTCATCTGCAGCCAGTCTGTGCCGTGCCCCCCCCCCCCCCCCCCCCCGCGTATTTCATTCAAGCGAGGTTTCTGTTTCCTTGTCTTGAAAGTGCACACAGTCGAGGTTTGTGATCATTAAGAGTGAGGTAGTGAGTCCCTTTTCCATCAAGTTCAGCGCTCTTTGGCTTGGGCATCAACTCCCAGAATGTCCCGAGCACCTCCCTCCTCCAGCGCCCTGCCGCCAGCCCGCACTTTCTGTGGCTTCGTCTTCTGTTGTTAAAACAGGGATGTGTTCTCCTTTGAGTGCTCAGTCTGGCGGCCAGCAGTTTCTCAGCTCCAAAGCAGTTAGGGGTTTCATTGCTGACTTTGAGAAAGTATAAAGAGTGTTTCTCAAGAATCAAACCGCAATGCCTGAAAATGTTGCTTTTCTAAAAAATTGTTTTCTGATGAGCAGTGTAGCATTTCTAATCAGTGGTTGCGGACAGCCGAGTCGGCCTCTGTAGTTTGAGGCTGGTTTGTGTGTCTGACGGGGACAGCACCTGCGCTGGTCAGTTCTCCCTGTCGAGGGAAGTGTGGACGTTTGTGACCTCGCGAGTTAGTCTCCCTGAAGTGGGAGCAGCTTGACTGTCTTGCCATTGAGCTTCTGCTGGAACACTGCCTTTTTTTTTTTTAAGCTGATCTGATAGTAAATACATATTTGAGAAGTTTGTAAGTAAAGACGTGACTGTGAAACGGGGTGAAAACCAAGCAGTTGATGCCAGTAGAGTATTTTCCTGAGAGATAGAACAGAAAACTCCCAGGATAAAAAAAATTAGGTGCGAATCACCAAATTTGATTCTACTAGTCGTGATTTTCATTCTCAAGTGCGAAATCCCAAATTTGGGCTTTTCCCTGATAGGAGCAGAGTGTCAGCAGTCTAGCTGAAGGGCGTTTGGGAGCGGCGGGGACTTAACTCTGCAACCTTTCGCTCAGTTTCAGAATGGAACGTTATCCCCAGCACGCAGAGTTGTCTCCATTTGACTTTTGCAACTGTCACCTAGTTACAAGTCAAATGGATACTTTTTATTTTTCTTTCAAGAGTTTGTGTTTTTAAATGCTGTATTCACATTTTAGAAAAAATCCTATAATATATTTTATAAAGGGGAAAATGGAGCCATCCACCCATGAATAATCACTTACTACTGGGGTACAGTGTTTGATGTTAGGTCATCTTATGTAGACTAACAAAACATCTTCATTGACGTCAGATATTACTGGTATCTTTCCAAGTCACTAAATCAGCTTCAACAGCATTGTTCCTAAAATTCTTTTTTTCCTTTAATGGTGAGATGAGAGCAAGCCAGCCCACTCCTCGATTGACATCAGTTTTATCCAAACCTTCCTTGCTCTTCTTTTGAGCCTAATAATGCTTGGATTTTTTTTTTTT